AATTCAACGCAAAGCGACACGCAACGGAGAAAAATGTCAAGATGGCATAAATTAATATATTTTTTCGTACATAATTGGTTATCCGAAACATCGATCTTCCGAACAACCCCAGTCCCCAATTGATTTGGATAATCGATGCTCTACTGTATTCACATTGATGAAATTTGTCATTTTTACTGTTCCTACTATTCAGATTGAAAAAAATGTCAGTTTGAATACTATTTAGACCAATTTGAGTGTTTATAATTAGAGGAGTAATACAGAGTAATACATATATTCTTAGAGATATTAATCATGCTGAATATATTTGAATTTGAAAGAGGAAATTCTTAGTAAGGATATTTGTTTTTGAGAATTAAAGTGAATGATGAAAAAGAATATTTACATTCTTATAAGAAGTCATACAGCTAAACTAAACATTTATATTATTTATCTATAATGATAAAAATTTATCCTTCTAGTGCATCATTCATATCTGTTGTTACATTTCAGGTAAATAATTATTTTACTTTTTGAAAAATGTATTCTGTTTTAGCATTTAGTATCTTCATCAAAGTGAACAAGCTTTATATCTAGAAATATTATTTGGGCATTTATGTTCAATTTTTTTTTCAATAGATAATAGAGGAGCAAGTAAAACTGCAAAATAATATTATAAAATAATAAAATGAGTTTCATACATGATAAATGTTTTGATAATTTTAAGTATTACACTATATACAGTATTTTCCCCATATCAGCAGTCAGGTGATAGGTTTCAAGCCTCTCTGTAGATGCTTGAAACCTTGGATAATATCATATTAATTCTATGTAATATGTTTTTAACATACATACAGTTCAGTTTAAAAAATTATACAGCCATATGATATTAAGCAAGCTGTTATATAAAGCACTATATAGTATATATAGAGTTTGTCTAATAAGTATTGGGACTGAATTTTTCCTGCCAATGGGAAGAGGTGGAGGGCAGTCTCTATGGGTGGAATCACTGGTGGGGAATGTCACGTAAGCTATGAGATCCAGCTCAATTGTCTCTGAGCCTTTGGAATGTGTAGATTGCACCTGAAGTGAAAGTGTGTTTAGTGCTTGCGTTGAGAGTCAAGATGCAGCAAACCATCAATCAGCGTTTTTGCCATCAAATTTTGCGTTAAATTGAACAAATCTGCTACAGAGACTTTTGATTAAAGTCTGCTGCATCCAAAGGGAGATACCTGGATGCTCCATCATGATGATGCGTCCAGTCACACGTCACTAATTGTGAGAGAGACACTGGCCAAACACAACATGTCAATGCTGCTTCAACCACACTGCTGTCCAGATTTGGCTCCCCGACTTCTTTTTATTCTCTCAGATCAAAAGGGGCCTGAAAGGACATTGTTTCAGGACGATTGAGGCAGTCCAAGTGGCTTCGACAGGGTGCCTGAACAGCCTTGCAATTGCTGACTTCCAGGAGGTGTATGAAGACTGGAAAAGGCATTGGCAGGTATATTGATGCAGGAGGTCTTATCTTAAAGATTATCCACTCACTGTACATATATCTTCAATAAATTTCTTTTTATGACTTCAGTCCTGATACTTATTGGACAAACTCTGAAACCCTGTATAATAGTAAATGTGAATGTAGATATTGTTTACACTGTGACTAGCTATAACATGACTATAACTGTGCAAGTAGGAAACTGAGAAAATGGTTGACAAAGAGATGATTCTTGATGATGATGATGATAAGCAGGTGGTCATATGCAAAATTTTAGTTTCTAATTTCTGGATTTTTTTATTTATTTAATGTTTTCAAACTGCAGGTAACTGAAACTGTGAGTGATGAAACAGCAAATAAGGGAAGTATTCTGAACTGAAACTAGAGTTGCTTCAGTCAAAATGTGTCACATTTATTAAACTTAAATAATAAAATCTAGCTATGTATTCAGCTATTCAGAGAAATTTCAAATAATTGCTTTTTAATACAAAAAAAAAGAAAGAAAAGAATAACAATTGCATGTTTACAGTGATGATGGATTATGGATGAGATCATCTATTGCTTGCCAATAGTCTCATTTAAATGCCAAATAAACTCCCAGTTTTTATCTGGCTATAAGACTAAACAATAACTGGGCAATTTGGCAGGAGGCAAGCCACCAGACTACCATCTCTTGTTAAATATAACAATTTAATTTTTTTCTGAATCCTAGCAATTACTTTTGCATTATGCACCATCACTGATCTGCCTGAATGTGGGTCATCTTTCATATCTTCTGTCTTTGAATTTTTTATATCACTCATATACTTACTGTAAAAACCACCATTTCCCCCCTCCAAAAATTGCTGTTATTGTGTATGTATGTATGTATTTGTGTATTGTTATTTACATTATCTGTAATGATTTTAGTTTAATCACTTTATTCTAATCTTTTGCTAATAATGTATTCGCTTTAATTAATTAGTTAGAAATTTTATTGTATTTTAAGCTCTATGTATAATTTATATCCTTTTTTTTTTTCTTTGAGCCCACTTTATTTGGCATTTAAATGAGACTATTGGCAAGCAATAGATGATCTCATCCATAATCCATCATCATTGTAAACATGCAATTGTTATTCTTTTCGTTCTTTTTTTTATATTAAAAAGCAATTATTTGTTTATATATGGACCAAAGCTGTAAGAGGAAATTTGATTATTTTTCCAATTTTAGGGACACCCCTATAGAAATTTCTAATAATATCAACTTAGAACGATTTAGAGAAACAAATTAGAATATGAAGTTCATTAATTAGAGCAATAAATCTTACAACATACGAGGAAAAGATGAGAGGGCAATTAAATAATTAAGTTAATTTGTAAAAAAATAAAACTTAAAGGAAGTTTAATAACTGTTTTTCCCCTCCCCGCCGATCATAGTGGCGATCAAACACTGTTTCAAGGCATGAGAAGTATGAAGCTTAAAGTAACCAAAACAATCAATGAATAATGATGGGAACTATCAGTGATGACGTCTGTGGAGTACGGCATTATCACCATCTAAAGTCAAGGAAGAGTTAGAACGGTTTTGTTACGGTAATGACTCAACTCAAAAGTCGAACCAATAATAATAGTAAATCATATGGTGACTCTCCTGCGCTGAAAGGTGTATAAAAGAGGCCCAAATTCAGTCATCAGAGAGCTCCTTGGCAGACAATGGTAGAAAGCACCGGCCTTACCAGACTCCCAATAAACCATCCCATACAAGGAAGGCATCAATGGTGGATCTCATCAGCAGACAACACCAGTAGACATAAGTGGACCCCATCCCGCAATAATCCCAAGGAAATTTCGACTAGAAGCAAATGCCATTTACTGGTGGACATCAGTGAAGGACCAAGCAAAAGGGAAGAAGGAACTAGATCAAGAGACTGACCAGCCCACAAGAGAAGACTGCTCTCTTTTTCCTGGTATGTTGTAGTTCAGGCAGCCCCTCGTTTTGTAGATAGAAATAGGCAGATTTCTTGAATTGGATTTTAAGAATGTTATCCAGAACCTAATTTTCAATAATAAACTCTTGTTATTTGTATTTGACTTTGCATTCATCCTCCTGAGAGGCTCTTTCCTGGACTTCAGAGTGATTCTTACCCTTAACTATCTGTTTGTGTCAAAATCAACAGTGTGTCCAACAAAATACACCTGGTTGCAGAACCCTACCATAACTTAGCATAATCTAACTTTTGATGGCCCCTGACCCTCACATTACCTTCAACATAATGTTTTCAGTAAAGACTATTTTTAATATTTTATATATTATTAGCAATTTTATAAAAATATTTCTAAATATTTTATGTACTGTACATGAATATACATTACACTACTATTTTCTTGAACATTAAAATTTTGACTTTACTCATGAGATACAGGTCTGTAACATTTTAGCTGATTTAATTAATATGATGATAAAAACTATAAATTTTTCTTTATTATCAAAATAAAGTGGTTTACAATTTTTTTTTATATTTCAAATTCTTATATGTAATTAATGAACTTAATATTTTGTTGAGTTAGATCAGTGTTTTTCAATCTTTTTTTTTTATCTCACAGCACACTTAAACCTATAATTAAATTTCTGCGGCAAAAATTTCCTCAGAATAAATTATGTGATTTAAAGTTGTGTTTGTAAACATTCTATCCTCACATTACTTGCCACTTAGCCTAATTCTTTTTGTTTATGTTTTTGTGAATTAAATAAAACAGTATTGTTGTTCCTTAAAATAGCAGCAGGTTACAACAATAGTTATTTAAATTAATAATTTTCATTTACATAAGAAAAGCAATTAACATTAAGTTTTAATTTGCATTTAAAAATGACATGATAATTGCCTTTATAAACATGTGCAATGTCCCACTATTTCTAAATTAAAATAATTTGAACTAAATAGGGCAATTATATATACTTTTTGATTAGAAGAAAATTTCATTTTAAATGAAATAACCCAATTTTATGCACATATAATATTACTTATAAATATATTTTTTCTACTACATTAGGTATACGTTTATTTATTATAACAATGAAAAACTCGTATAACCAATTTAAAGAGGTTTCAATTTTGACATGTACACTTATTGTTCTTTAGGCTTCTCTTAAAAATAGTTTATTTAATAACCTTCAAAAATTTTTGTGGCACACTGGTTGAAAATCACTGGGTTATATCATATAATTTAATGACACAAAAACCTCATTGGACAAACTGCATTGTGCAACATTGTAAATTTAAAACAATTGTAAAGTCTGAGAAAATGGACAGGAATAAGATCACTTGAATATATAACCAGCTAAAACAATAAAAATATAAAATAGTTTACCATCATTAAAATTCAAGAACAAATGTATGTAAGCAAATCAATAGCATAAAAAGCTTTGTTTATTGCACCTGAATAGAAATTTATTGAATAAGCATGCAACATTAATCAGGATTAGTATTAGATTGTTTTAAATATAAGTAAAAATTAATTTTTACTTAATGTTTTTCCTCTGTTTCTTTTTTTAATTTCTTTATAGAAGGCATTCCTAAAGTATATTATTTTGGACCTTGTGGAAAATATAATGCACTGGTTATGGAATTGTTAGGACCTAGTCTTGAAGACCTGTTTGATTTGTGTGAAAGGAAGTTTAGTCTTAAAACAGTACTAACTATTGCTATCCAATTGGTAAGTTTTTAGATTTAAAATAATTAACTTGTTTATTCTTAATAATTTGATTTCACTTTTTCTACAGTTACATCGTATAGAATATGTCCATTCCAAACACCTTATTTATAGAGATGTAAAGCCAGAAAATTTTTTAATCGGAAGACAGTCCACTAAAAGACATAACATTATTCATATCATAGATTTTGGTTTAGCAAAAGAATATATAGATCCAGAAACAAATAAGCATATACCATACAGAGAACATAAAAGTTTAACTGGAACAGCAAGATATATGAGTATAAATACGCATCTTGGCAAAGGTAAGATTGCATACAAGCACTCTGTATCAAACATAAATGCATTATGACATAAAAAGGTATTAGTAGTATTTTAATTTTATTTCTTTCTTATTAATTTACAGAACAAAGTAGAAGGGATGATTTAGAGGCACTTGGACATATGTTTATGTATTTTTTACGAGGCAGCTTGCCGTGGCAGGGTTTAAAAGCAGATACTCTAAAAGAACGATATCAAAAAATAGGAGATACTAAAAGAGCTACTCCTATTGAAGTGTTATGTGAAGGTTATCCAGGTAAGGCTTGTTTATAAAATTCTATGTAAAACTTGGAAACTTATTTTTAAATAAAATACAGAAAATTTTATATGTAAAACTTTGTTTATAACTAATAACCTGTAAACAGTGTCTCACTATATAAATGATTTAGGATAAATGTATAGTAGTTATATGAATAATTTAAATATCTTTATAATAAATAATAATATTGTGTAATAAATTCTTAAGAATTGAAATATTAGGTTGGCTTCATATCAATTTGTATCAACATATCTACCATTCATATTCTTATTTTTCACATATAATATATTGATTCAAACATGTAATAAATTTATTCATTAAATAACAACTTACAATTATACCTTGAATTAAGAATATGGTTTTATTAATTAAATAACCTATGATGATAATAAATATGTATACAGTAAAACCTCTTATTTTGAAACTCAAGGGACTAAAAAAACACACGACTTTGAATTATTCAAACTTTTTTGAATCAAAAATGTTTGTAATTCATGAAAAAAAATTACGACATTATCTTACGTAATTTCATCTGTTCATTTACAAATGTGTTAATATTACAATTTATTACTTGGTTTTTTTTTTTTTTGATATAGCTTAAATTACTAACAGTTGGTGTGTGTACTTAATGAAAACAATGAAAATGTAACCAAATTACATTCAAAGCAAGACCTGAAAAAAACGTATGAAAGAAGCTTAAGTGCTTCAATAAGAATTACTGTAAATTTTGGCTAGAGAATCAATGGCTAGCTCTTTGAAGAATTTACCATCTTGAATTCATGATTACGAAAATCATGTTATTTGATGAAAATAAGTTCTATTAACAACTAAAGCTATAAGTACGCATTCTATCATGAATACACTCATGTATTTAATGGACTTTGAAATTATTGATACAATAGATTTTTGTGAAAAATACCAAAATAGTTAAATGCTAAACAGATTTCTTTCATAAAAATATAAAAAATGTTCTAGCTGCTAATCATATCTCCTTCTCTGTGAGTCTTTTTTTCTGATGTCAGCTTTCTTTCATGTGCTTGTAGGGAATTTTTTTCCTGGCCTTACACAGTTGCATAAATCTTTTACAGTCATGCTTGATAGTGGGAGTTTTGGCAGCAACTCAGAAAACCATTTTTCAAAAATAGATACCATTCATATCCTGATGGTAATCTCCTGTATTTTTGGACCAGCTTTGTTTTTATCAAAACATAAGCATGCACATGTGCATGCTTATGTTTTGATAAGCATGTACATGTGCATCATGATTTTGATCATGTACATGCGCATGTATCATG